AAATAAACCGAACGCCTTCTTGGTAGCCAATACATTAAATGTAAAACTGTATGATAAATTATTAATATTGCTAATATTAAAAATTGATGTAATCTTTTACAAATGCCGTGGCTTTTGTTTAGGTGGGAACATTTCAATATATTACTTACACCAATTACTTTCGTGAAATTTATTGTTGGAGCGAGTAGAAAACACGAACAACAACTGGAGTCTCTGCTCTGTGTATTTATATACATAATTTTGGGTTAAACTTTAAAATCATAAGACCTAAACCTATAAGCAATCTAAACTGTAATGACGATGAAAGATATATGTACAGTACAGTACAATCGAAAGCATGTACTTAATGTACAGTACATGTATATGGACGTATATAATGTCATAACTTTTATGGAGGATTGCTATCGTCTTAAGTCAACGGCATTTTACTTCGTTCTGTTAATAAATATATTGATGGTTAATGCAAATTCCATTAAGTTAATGTAAGAGTATAATTTATATTTAGTAATAAATCGATAATTTCGTATCTAAAATGCACTTTAGACGTTACATAACTGTAATAAAATTTTGATTTCACATCAAGATATGGCTTTACGTAATTAACTAATCATAAATTTAATAAGATACGCTTATACTTTTAGACAGAAAATTAAGCTTATATACGAATTAATACAGTTGTAACTAAGAAATTAAAAGATATTAAATGATAATTTTATTCTATGGATTCAGTCGAGTTTAGAAAATCCGAATCTTTTCTGTATTATGTATAGATAAGACAAGGCCCGACTTTTCATCATATATTTATCTATAAAATTAAATCTGATCCTACAAATGTTCGATGGACTTGAAATTTAGTCTTGTAAATAAAAATATCCATGGCCTACGTCAAATGATGTTACTACCCCCCCCTCTTTCTAGGCCCGGTATCAAACTTTACAATATTTCAGACAATTAAATCAATTTTTGTAATTTGAATTCAATGAACATATTTTAATAATATAATTGTTCTTTAAAATATATCTCGGTTAACTCACTATTGGACACAGTGTACGTCCGCCGTGTGGAAAATTAAATACTTAATAGATTTTTCACGGGATAACACTTTCGAATGCACGCGGCCAAGTGCTATATGCTACCCGTCTCTAGCGTGTCTATATCACAGAGGAAGAGTATGACGATCTGTCAAAAAATAACCCTCTCAAGATTTTATAGTTTTGGACTCGGGTGACACGAAAACGTCAAGAAATTCAAAAAGCTCGAGGGTGTTTTCTGTATATATAAATTATGTGTGGTGCACAATTTTGTTAATTCTCTTTAAAGCTTAATCACTCCTGTATTATTTGACCAAAATTTCTGAAATTTTGCAGGGAGGTTTGTTTATTAGGGAGATTGATTTTATTAAATTTTGGTGGTTAAAGGTCAAAGAAGTAGGAAGATAATGGGGGTCGCGTGCGGTCAGATTTCATGACGATTTACTCGTTATTAGCATTTACAATTCTTTATAAAACCCGTCCATACCCTCAAAATTAAGTATTTTGCCATTCTATAATAGTTAAATTTATAAAAAGTTTTTAAAATAAAATATAATAACAGATAGCGCCACCGAAATTTTAAATGTTGCCGGGAAAGTCGAGCAACTCGTTGCTGGTTTATTCTAGGTTTTTGTATTGATTGATAAATACATGGTTCCAAAATCTTTACAAATTGTTGGAAATGAAAATGACGATGGGGTTAACATAAGCCCAACCGATTCGATTTGGTGGTACTAGAGAGAAGCGGCATTTAAAAGGCTCCAGGCATTATATTAAAGAATAGAAACTAAAACATAATTATGATGGTAACAAAATGATTTATTTTTGTTTTGAATAGTTGCGTAGCGAATCAAACTTCTTACGTCACTGCTTTGTACGTAATTAATAAAATATTGTAACTTTCAGGTGTGGTAGGTAATCTTGAAAGTGGGTGTGTACGACACGTTATAGACCTTTACGGTAGATAAGTAGCGTAAGCGCCGTGTTACGTAAGACAAGTCTAACGTGTAATTACTTAATTCTAACGGAAACGAATACAATTCGCATTGAAAGAATAAAGGAATTTAATACAGATTATATCGTGTACACATTAGAGGTGTCATTGGGACTCGCGCTTGTTAGTTAAACAGTATTTTGTGAGTGAAAAGTTGTTATGTAAAGTGCGAAATTATAAAAAATTGGTTCACATTTTTTTTAGTTGATGGGAATACAAAATTTGTTAAATTTAAGTTATAATTAAGTGCCAAATGACAAAGATAGTAATTTAAATTGAATTTTCAAATACGAAATGGTGTAAATCAATTGCATTTCTTCCGTTTATTGCCATTATTTACCTCTTTTAAACTGGACAAGAGAGAAAAGGAACTTTCCATTATCTGCAAAATAAAAAAATGTCCAATTAATTCTTTTATTGTTTGTAAAGTATAAAATTAAAACTAAACTTACTCGAGTAACAGTCAATTTAGTTAGAATAAAATCCAAGCATTGTATGCCCAATCCAGGACCATCCAGTAATTTTAATGTAGAAATCAACTGAAAGAATTAAAAGTTCGTATATCTTTTACTAAAATATAATAATTATATTTTTATTAAGTTATTTTATTTTACAAAACAAGCCTGTTAAATTACCTTTAGTCTGTCATTGCTATCCATTTGAAAAGTACAAAATCTTTTTAGTTCCATTAATGGTGACATTGCCTATATATAAATATTAGAAAACGTGTGTAAAAACAGCAGTAAAATTGAATGGACTATTGCTTAAAAATTATATAGATCTAATTATTGATTTATATACGTAACAAAATACTAAAAATAATGGATTTTTGTTTTAAAATGTAAATTGTATTAACTATTTAATCGTATAAATATGCAGAAAAACTTACCGAAATTGATACTTGAGCACCAACTAATATGATACCCAAAGTCATTATTATTATAAAACATAAAATTATTATCAAACTAATTCTTAAATATTTTTCTATTGATTTATATAGTAGAATGCAGAGTATAAAGGAAATTACGGAAATCGATGCACAATAGGCGGAACTACAACCTCCATTAAACATCTTATTGAATTCTTCTAATCCCAGACAGCATTCTTTAAATTTCTGACGAAAATATTGAAGAATATAACTCATTTCGTCGGATCTGGGGTGACAATTATATATATTATTTGCCAAAACATCAAAATTTCCCTTGACAACAATAGCAAGTATCACAATCGTTAAACAACAATATACAGAACAAACATTAGTTAAAGAATAAGCAGAAAATAAAGTAATAGAGCAAACCGTAGCCACCAAATCATTTGTAGACTTAGCTACCATGGAATAAACATTTAAACTAAACAATATATATAGAAATATAAATATAATGATCATTAAAGTACAATAGATGATTATTAAATACTTCTGGCATCGTTTTAACACGTATACTTGACGAATGTTATCGAATATCAAGTTCATCCGATTTCCATTATATTCGTTGGTGAGCAGAAAAATATAAATGCTACATACCAAAGCGCTGTAAATAATGATAAAGCCATAGTTCATCGTACTATCTGAAGAAAAAACACTTAAATATTCGGAACAAATGTAAACTGAATATCGTTTTGGTAACCAATACATAAGATGAATCATTATGTGATGAATCAGGAGGATGCTTAATATTAGAAATCGGTGCAATTTTTCCCAAGTGTTTCTATTTTCCTTTTGATGTATGCATTTCGTAATATTACGAATTGATATTAATTTCATGAAATTCAATGTGGGAGAAAGTAATAAACACGAACAGTTATTTGCAACATGGAAACTCCCTTCTTCCTCGTACATAATGTTTGACTTATGATCGAATATAAGCTTACCTTTGTAACGATGATTATGAAGTTGTGTATGAATCTCAGGTTTATACTAAATTGTATAGTATTATACGATAGTGTTATGTACTTACTTTGATTAGAACGTTTTAACTAATTACAGAATATATATATTAAATTGATTACTTATAGAATATTAATGAAAATGAAACCATTAGAAATCGATAATTTCATTTAAATAATGTAATAAATTCATGTACCCAATTACACTAATTGTAGATTTAAAATATAAGCACGTAACTAAACCTATAAATTGAAAAAATAATAATTAATTTTGAATTATTTAAATAAATATAATTATAATGTTATACAGACGAAGTGTGGATATAAATTTAAGACACCAATTTGTGTTGCATCCGAAGACATCGCTTATTGCATTATTTTGCAAATTATATATGCATTACTGATTGAATTGATTTATAATAGAGTAATAGAGAATTATCAGCGATAAATGTTGCTTTTTTACTACTTATCATTCCTCATAACTTGTAATAAATACAAAATACACGGTGATTTAATCATTCACTACCATCTTTTATATTTTTGGTATATATTTTTTTATTTTTGATGGAAGTTTGAACTAAAATATATATTAAGTTGACACAAATTCGCCTAAACAAAGCTTTTAAATGTAGGAAGATAAATATATAGAAGAAATGACAAACAACACGTGCAATAAATTTTGCTGATTGACACTACGAACGAACCTCAATCACGGTAATGAAGATGCTAATTAAGATAGTCTTTTCAATGATCCATAGAACGTTTTCAATAATTAACGTAAGTAATTAAAATATATCTTATAATTATCGGAAATTAACCGTACTAAATATAAAACTTTTCGTTTGAACACTAGCTTTATAGGAAGACAAGTAACTGCGTACTGGAGAAAATTTTAAAATTAAAATCACGCGATTTCCGGTCCAGAAAGGACGTTCGTTTTTAAAATTATTTTAAATTAAATTACTTTTTTGTTTATTTTTTAGTTTTAAATCAAACAACGTGAACACATTTCACTTCTATTGTAATGTTAAGGTAACACCTGCCACAAATGCATTTACTTCAGCAATATAAATAAATAGTTCACCCAGTCGAGCTGCACTTTACTCGGTGATTTAAAACGTGAAAGGATGAATACAAATATCTGATAAACAGGCAACTTTTGTCAAGTATTAAACTAGAGGCATGAATAATAGAAGCAGCTACATCATTGCCTTCTTTGGTACGTATAGAATTCGTAGGTTATTCATTCAAAAGTACTTTCAAATGATTTCTTTTTTAAATTTCTAGTTTTGTGTATAAATTATCAACAATTCCCGATAACTTTTACGTAAATTAATTCGATTTAAAGTAAGAGACTTGTTATAAATATTAATAAAGACGTGTGTAAAATTTCAAACTGATTTTATTCTTTTACAGTTTTAACATTAGGAAATGAAGTCGATGTTAACGCTCTTCTGGAAAATGAAAGAATAACAACGAAAATAAACAGTGTATTTGATAATGCATTGGAAACAATAAGTAATAGTCACGTGTTGGATGATGTCGTAAGTAGAAATTTTATTTAACAATTACTATATAAAGACACTAGCTGTGATAATGCGGCATTTATTACGAAATTGGTTTACAGTAATGGGATAAGGCAGCTAAACATTGGCCTATCTGACAATCGTGGGTGCTACTGGGAGGACTTTCTACCAGACTGACTTCTGTTTAGGTGTAAGGCGCGTGAAAAAACCGGAAAACTCTACCCCTTAGTCGGGTGCGAACCCGCGACTTCATTTGCATAAAATACCAAATTACGTATATTGTTAACGTTACGTAAACCGAGATTTTTTTATGTAAGAGTAACGTTACGCTTAAATACCGTAACGCTATGCGGAGTCCTACACAATAATAAATCATATAATTAAACAAGAAACTATTTTTCCTCGTGTTTTATGCGACGATCTTAATTTATAATATTTAACATCATTAATTTTAAGATAAAAATGTAAATAACTGTTTATTTGTATTAATCGATTATAATTAATAACTTTATGCATGATTTATTATAAAAATTAAACTGTATTACTTTACAGATTAATATGAACATCACCAGATGCATCGAGGGATTGAAGAACTTTATAAATTCATTAAGAGACGACAATAGTAACAGCGTGGGTGGTGGTAATCCTTTATTTCTAAATTTCCTTTCACCTACGACTTCCTCTTTTTCTCTTTGTAAGTTTCTAAGTATGGTCAAAATCATAAATAAACTCTGTGTAACCGGTAACAATACGAGTATCCTCGATTTTGTCAATTGTACCGTAATTGAAACAAGACCACCAAAACAATTGATTCTTAAAATTGTTAATAAAGATATATCAGATGTTTACGCGTGTATTGATGAAAGTTTGCAGATATCAGTTTTAAATATACTCGGCTGTGAAAATTTAGGAAATCTTTTGCCATTTCTTCAGAACTGTTCTTCCCCTTCACCCGATTTATTTCTTTCGTCCACCTTTACTAATTTCACTTTATTCTTTGAAAATGTGCAAAAATGTTTACAAATCATACTGTAAATCAATTGTTTAAAACAATATCACGTAAATTAATACGAATTGGTGCAAATAAAATATAATAAAATGTACTGTTTTGTGTTTATTTAAGAAGTTTGCTTCTACCCTCACAGTTCGTGTCAGTGGGTATTTTTAAAATTAAAAATCAAATCTATTTCACTTAATATTACTATATTATCAAGGATTTTAGACATAATAAAACTGTATAATTAAGAATAAAACATATAAAACTTACTATAAAATTGTTGCTTACGTAACACCAAAATTACATTTAATTTATTGAAAGCAACAGATCCTTCTTTTACTTAGATAATAAAATTATTTTAAGATTTAAATTATGCATTTTTAATTTTTAAATTACGTATCTGAAACTACGTTAAACGTTTTTTAAAGTAAATTTTAAAGTAACAGCTGCGGGGAAGCACTTACTTTTTAACAATATAAACGGACATCCTCTCGTTTCGAGCATCATTTTATCTTGAAGGTTTAAATATATAAAACGTATTATTTCTTGTATAGAAATAAAGTCTAAAAATATGAATAAATTCGGCTGCGGCATTGCCATTATTGGTATGTATAACGTTTAAATTATTATAATTTTCCCGAAACTATAACAAGAGCCACCTTCTAAGATGATTTCGGCTTTATTTGGCCTTTATTTTATTGTATTATCTATAAGTTTGGAATGTTTTTTTAGCAAGTTTAATAAAATTTCCAACTTAATTTACCTCGTTACAGTTTTAACACTAAGAAATGCAGCACAAGTTAATGGCTTATTTGAAAATGTAGATTTAATTATCAAAGTGAACAGTTTAATTAATGAAGGACTAAATTCTTTAATTAACAGCGGTGCATTGAGTGATATCGTAAGTACAAATTACTGAATTTATTGTAATTTATATAACTAAATATATAAATTTAGTCACTACTCCTCTCTAAAATGACTATAAAATATCCGAATGGGTCAATTGGCTGAGGTGCCCGACTAGTGTTCGAGAGTTTATCGCGTTGCTGCTAACCGTATATATTTTTCGATAGAGGGATTAATTCCGATAGGAAATTAATAATATTATTTATTATTTAATGTACATAATACCGTATAATTGCACACTTTAAATACGAAAGAAAGTGTCTGACATAACTAAAGTACAAACGATGCCATTTAGTTTCATCCCCGTAATGATAAATTATGAAAACGTATATACGTTATATACTTAAACAGAAAACAATTTCTACATAAACAAAATCATGTATGTATAATTCTAATGATCTTAATTTACTGGTATTAACTTTTAAGACGAGGAAATATACTTAAAACAAGCGAGAGAAAGAATTAATTGTGGATTCTGTAATTATAATTAATAACTTTTCGATAATTTATCATCGATTTACTGTTTTACAGATCGGAATGAATTTTACCAGATGCGTTATTGGGTTGAAAAACTTTCTAAATCCATTAGAAAATAACGACAAAGAGCAAAAGAACGTCCTCGGCTTTCTCGATCTTCCTACCAGTTTAACTACATCTGCGCCCGCAACTTCTTTCCCTCTCTGTAACTTGCTAAGTACAATAGTGGTGTTAAATAAACTTTGCGTAACCGATAAGAATAAAACCTTTCTCGATGTTATTAACTGTACTGTAATCGAAACGAGACCAGCAAAACTTTATATATTAAATTTACTAAGTCCAGTGTTATCGGATTTCTACGAATGTATCGATAAAAGTTTGCAGGTGGCTGTTTTAAATATTCTTAATTGTACTAATGTAGAAAAATTTTTAACATTTCTTCAAAACTGTTCTTCTCCTTCGCCCGAGTTATTTCTTTCGTCGACCTTCGCCAATTTAAATAAATTCACTAACAATTTTCTAAACTGTTTTCAGATACTAAAATTGAAATGACTCCATAATAATATTGTAAAATGATGAAAATAAAAATTCATAAATAAAAATATATATTAATTTAATTTATTTATTAAAAAATCACGGGTTTAATTTATCTTAACTGCTTGTCACATAGAAACACCCTCTGTGTTTAGTTAATCAAAGAGAAGTGAAAGACCCAGACAGTTTATAAAGCGGTGTTTCGTACTGGTTCCTTCTTACTTGACGATTTTAATACAGATAAATCCATATAGATGACATTTCTCAATGTATGTAAAATAGAATATGTCAATCTGGTATACTTTGAACCGATAGGGAGTATGAAATCGTCTTATTTACTGGCTAATTACTCTCTAAAATCTCTTTACATATTAATGCCATAAGGTTAATTTGGGAAGATATCCAGAATTAATAGATAATAACTTGCAATTTAGGAATGAGTTAACAGAACTTTAATTAATCGTGTTGATAAATTTAAAAATAAACAGAAAGATAAATAACGCGTGTAACACACTGTACGCGTGAATATTGCAAGTGTTTTAGTACACGTGTTGACACGATTGTAGGAATTTAATGTCAACAAGAAAATGTTTTAATTAATCAAATAATTTGATATTACACTTTATTATCTTTGTTTAAGTTTTTAAATGTATTTATTATAATCTTTGAATTCATTACTGAATATGGAAAATTTAATTTTGTGATATATTGTGTTAATACTAGTTACATTCATACTTAACAAGAAAATGTTTTAATTAATCAAATAATTTGATATTACACTTTATTATCTTTGTTTAAGTTTTTAAATGTATTTATTATAATTTTTAAAATAAACCTGCCGAATGTTAACTGATAAAACATAAAATTTACAATTTTCAAGTGTGTCCTATACTTATTCGTTGTTCCTCCTACTAAAAATACGATAAAATAATTAAATATTCACAATCTTTAGAGGAAGGTTTTTAAGTAATTGACTAAATACTCACTCTCGATCCGTCCTTTTTAAATCTCCAGAATGGTGTTATATATATAAAAGATACGAACAGATATGGAAAGCGTAAGGGGAGTAGGCCCCGATTAATAATATGCAGAGTTTCGAAAGGAACCGAAAGCCTCGTTATTTTAATTCAAATATTCCCCCCCGAAAGGAGTTAAATAAATAACCGGCACGACTCTGTTGCTAAAGGAAAAGTATGATGTCTACAGGGAAAGACAGTACTAACTCGAGGTGGAGAGAATAAAAAAAAATTGATTCGTAATTGCTCGTTCGAAATAATAGTTTAATTCATTTCGCAATTACCTTGAAAAATCTGAATCAGGTGGTTTACGCAAAGTTTTGGCTTTCCTCCAAAACACGTGCAGAACCTTGCAAAACTAACAAATATGAATCTACCTTATCGTTCTGCATATTTGTTATTGTTTTAATTGTAAGTAAAATATACCTATTCAACCATTTTAAAATAATACTATAATTAGTCAAAATGCAATCGATCTATTTAGGGATGGCATTTTAGTACACGCAGAGAGCATTACCATAAAAAATGTACTCTAAAAACTTGCCACTAAATACTAAATACCTATAAAAACTAAATACAAATAAATATTGTATTTAGTTTATATAGGTAGGAGAGACGGATTTGAGTGAATATTTAAACAAGGACAATGCAAAACGTCGATGTTTCCCACAAGTAGTGCCTTAATTTCTGTATTATATTGTTGCGGGTTTTCTACTTAAAAGTAGCTTAGTAATTTACGAGCTAATCAAGAAATAATGAATTATTTACAAGGAGATGATGATGATGACTCGAACAAGGATTTGTGAGAAGAAAGTGATATTGCATCTGAAGTTGAGGTAGAACTCGAAGGCCATTCTGAAACCGCGCGAGAGGGCGAAAAGAGTGATGAAGAGGAGGATTCGACTTGAAAAAGATAAAACTGCCAAGTGGTATGATATGCCTACGCCGAGTAGAGTAAGAACGAGACCTCATAACCTACTCACTCATCCTCATGAAGTTATAGAAAATGCTAAGTCGACGGAAAGTGCATGTTGAAATAACTTTTTATTGAAGAAATATTGATAATTATAGTTAGATGTACAGGTACAGTACCAATCTGTATACGAGCAACTTAAAAGACCAATTTTCTCGAGAAAAGAACATAAAGAATACTAATATATTGTTAATAATAGAACATTCTTTTAATAGTCTTTTGTATTTAGCAGGAACTAACAGAGGGAATAGGCAGAGCCTAGAGCAGGGTGTCCAACCTGCGGCCCACTGCACCCTAACATTTTTAGGTATATTTTCATTTATTTTGGTAAAGAATGTTGTAAAAATTATTCTCGTTTCACTGGATACACTTTGATGTCGTAATGACGTAATTGATGCTAGAAAACAATCGATGAAGTGCTTCTAGTTAATTGCTCTTTCCGTCAATACATTCCATCAAATCTTATATATAGGGAATTAACACTTATTCCCTAGTAGATGCACGTTTTCTTTGTATAATTTTAAAATTTACTGTGGAAAGCATCCACAAAGGCTTCTCGTGATTAGTAACAAGCTAAGTGATGTAGTGAAAGAGATGGTAGAGCCCTTATTTGGTTTAGGACGTAATATAACTATCAACAACAGGTTTAGTGACCTGGATCTTGTCGAAGAACAAAAACAGAATAAAAACGCATCTGCTGATATTTTGGAAAAAAATAAAAGACACTTGCAGACCAAATTTCTTGCCACCAAAAATAAAGAATATTCTTGCATTTTTGGTTTCACTACTTTTGTATCGTATGTCTTGAGAAAACAAAAAACTGTAATATCATTCTTGCTTCCACGCTCCACAATGACATATCACTTGATCTTGATTCTGCAGAAAAAATACACCAACCAGGATATCTTTTCATAATTCAACAGTGGGAAAAGTTGATAATCCAGACAAAATGTACTGTACGCTACATTTATATGCATAACTGTGACGATACCATGCCTTAAAATCACTGATATCAGAAAATCACAGTAACGAATCACTGCTGTTGTGGTTGCAAAACGCTCATGGCTATGGAAAATAAAGTTTTGTTTTGATAAAACGCCGGGTTCTGGGCTGGTTTTTAGACTCGTATCAAGCCCTTCGTAGACCACAAATGACGTTTCCCAGGGATTGGCTGATAAGATAACGAAACGCATTGGCAATTCGTCAAGAGATGTATCCCCGAAATGTATCTCGGAAGGAATTTCAATAAAATATTGGTCTCTATTTAGGTGTTAAACACGTCGAGAAAGCTCGAATGGTCAGCTCCTTGATGACACTCAAACGTCCACCAACTAACTACTAATGTTCAGTGGCCACTAGCCACTAGTAGACACGTGTTGCTTAGGACTACTATAAAGTAAACTAGAAAACAGATAGGATGAAACATCTCGAACTAGGTTGCGGCTTACAACAAAGATTACACAAAACACAACGCTGACTTGACTCGCGGAAGGTCAGAGCTGAAAAGGGGAGAGTGAAATTAATGGTTCCCCGAGGGGGTCAACAGCGCTACCAACCTTTTATTACGCGACAAAAAAAATATTTACAAATATCACCGCGACACAATGCAATGTACTGTACCGCGTTGTACGAGGATTTCCTGTATTTACTCTAAACAACATCACAGTTTTCGTGAGACAGATTCAACAGTTGTCACTTATAAGTGTTAAAATATGCAATTAAAATCTGAAAATATTTTATTCTGAACATTTACGTTTATTTCTTAAAATATTACAATATCTGTGGTTCATGCACATTCGTACAACTTTTTAATTCTATAAACATCGCTAGAGGCTAAATATGGAGGTTTTTTCGCATACGGTTCTAGCAACTTCACTCCCGTTTTAGCTTCCATAGTTTTCGATTTACCATCCTTAGAAAATGCATAATTTCCATAAATCATGATAGAGTCGTAATCAAAGTCGACGTATAGAACGTTTTTATCCGGTTGAAGACGTACAAATTGCCCTTCCATTCCTAACAATATCGAAATTTGTATCATCTTTAACAGAATCGACGAAAATATCCGATAACGATACTTACCTTTTTTAATATTCTGCCAATGAATAATTAGATAATCGTCTCTATCAGATCGATTCTGTTCGTGATGGAAACCAAGAGCGTGAACAATTTCGTGGACAATGGTTCCTACGTAACCGCAGCCATTTCCCAGAGATATAATTTGTTGGCGTCCAATTCGACCAACGTGCGAATAACAACTGAATTAAGTATAATAAAATTATAAAATGATAAAATATTATGTTAATCGCGAGAGAAATACTCACCCCTTTCCTTTAATAAATCTAATGTAAGCTTTTTCTTCTTTTCGTTCTTTGAAAGATATGCATCCTCCCGTTGCTCGATTTATGTGTTTCATTGCTTCATTAATAGAACGTTTTATGTTTCCTATTATTTACAATAGATAAAATAATAATTAATAAAGTCGTCTAGTTGATATTGAGTCGGAAAAACTCTAAAATTACTTAATTCTGGATCGATGACGTAAGGCATTACCCCACCGGTCCAGCGACGCGATAGCTTCATTATGGCATTTCTGACCTAATTTTATGTTTAATTTTAATTAATTTAATTCGCTTCCGGAGCATTTAAAATAAACAGACTTACGTCATTGTCTTCTACTCCTATAATATCTCCTTCGAAGAGATCGGGGTTCTGTAAAGCGATGGATGGAAGATCCACTAGAAATTGTGGAAGGATGGCATTACTTTATTACGAAAATGATTTAAATCACTAAAAGGATAAATATGTTACCGTGTCTGGCAAAAGTCACCGTAAACAAGGCAAACAAGACCAACATTTTTAACGGAGTTATCGATAATGCTGCACGGTTTATTCTTCGCTAAGTGAATCGGACGTCTCTATTTATACAATTTTCTTTAATCTAATCGAAGGTGTTTACCGATAATTATTTTAAAAAAAGTTAATATAATCTACTTTAATGTTTTTTTTATTTATTTATAACGTTTTATAATTCAATAAACGAGCCTAAAATATAAAGAGAGTGATATTAAGTCTCGACGATCGGTGCGAACCGGATACATCAGTACCAGGCCTGGACAAATCCAGAATGGGTTTTGAAATTCTTAAAAACCATTTTCGAAATTTATTCGTAGCTAAACTGTTTATATCTGTTTATGACTATACTAATTAATTTTTCTTTCTTTCAGATAGACAAATTAAATACCGATCCACGCCAGTTGTATATTTATTTACCGACCGAGACTTATATCAACTTCATTTTAACAGCTGTTAATTCACCGAGGAACGTCGCGGTGTTCAAATGGCATATCTCAGAATGATTTTTTTAATAACACAAGGTTAAACATTAAAGTGTTAAACCTATACTGATTACACTGAAAATGAGTGTTCTTTTGATATTCTAAGAAGTGACTTTGCATTTACTATACATTCGTATAGAATTATAATAGACAATTAGTAACTGCGAAGAATTCGCTCCATTTATACGTAAAATCGTTATTTGTGCGTGTGAAACACACAAATTTTGTTCAACGTCTTCATAAAACATCCAAAATTACGGCACAGACTTCAATTTAGACAAAAATGTACAAACAATACAAGTGTACAAAGTAATCATTGGTATTGCACAGCTTTCTACTAATACGAAATCATACAATTCGAATGAAAGATATATTTTCACTGCATTGTTAGTTAATTACTTAATGTAAATAGCGTAAACACCGGTTAATTCAGGTAATATACTGCTTGAAACGTGAGTAAAACCCGTAAAACCGATTATAAGGAGTTCGAACCCGGAACTTCCACAAAGATAAATAAAAAACTGACCTAAAAACTTGAGAAGTCGACTATTTGAAATTACTGTTTGGTTTTTATTGTAAGTGAGAACTCGCATATTTTTATATTTATTACATTTATCTGAATTAAATTTTTTCTACGAATACAGTTTTTATCTGTCTAGGAACGAAGATAAATAGTACTTACACGAAACAATTGAGCTTATTAGAAAGAATTTAAAAGTTTCCTACTTAAATGTATTCTTGGACATAAAAGTATAGTTTCACACCATTCTTAACTTTTGTTTTCTTTATTAAATAAGAAATTTATTAATAAAAATATGTTTCGTTGCCGTAACTCATCAATCCATTCCTAATCGCTTATATATTTTTAAGGTNTGTATTATTTGACCAAAATTTCTGAAATTTTGCAGGGAGGTTTGTTTATTAGGGAGATTGATTTTATTAAATTTTGGTGGTTAAAGGTCAAAGAAGTAGGAAGATAATGGGGGTCGCGTGCGGTCAGATTTCATGACGATTTACTCGTTATTAGCATTTACAATTCTTTATAAAACCCGTCCATACCCTCAAAATTAAGTATTTTGCCATTCTATAATAGTTAAAAATATAAAAACTTTTTCAATAAAATATGTGTTATCATATTTTATTGAAAAAAAAATAAAATATAATAACAGATAGCGCCACCGAAATTTTAAATGTTGCCGGGAAAGTCGAGCAACTCGTTGCTGGTTTATTCTAGGTTTTTGTATTGATTGATAAATACATGGTTCCAAAATCTTTACAAATTGTTGGAAATGAAAATGACGATGGGGTTAACATAAGCCCAACCGATTCGATTTGGTGGTACTAGAGAGAAGCGGCATTTAAAAGGCTCCAGGCATTATATTAAAGAATAGAAACTAAAACATAATTATGATGGTAACAAAATGATTTATTTTTGTTTTGAATAGTTGCGTAGCGAATCAAACTTCTTACGTCACTGCTTTGTACGTAATTAATAAAATATTGTAACTTTCAGGTGTGGTAGGTAATCTTGAAAGTGGGTGTGTACGACACGTTATAGACCTTTACGGTAGATAAGTAGCGTAAGCGCCGTGTTACGTAAGACAAGTCTAACGTGTAATTACTTAATTCTAACGGAAACGAATACAATTCGCATTGAAAGAATAAAGGAATTTAATACAGATTATATCGTGTACACATTAGAGGTGTCATTGGGACTCGCGCTTGTTAGTTAAACAGTATTTTGTGAGTGAAAAGTTGTTATGTAAAGTGCGAAATTATAAAAAATTGGTTCACATTTTTTTTATTTGATGGGAATACAAAATTTGTTAAATTTAAGTTATAATTAAGTGCCAAATGACAAAGATAGTAATTTAAATTGAATTTTCAAATACGAAATGGTGTAAATCAATTGCATTTCTTCCGTTTATTGCCATTATTTACCTCTTTTAAACTGGACAAGAGAGAAAAGGAACTTTCCATTATCTGCAAAATAAAAAAATGTCCAATTAATTCTTTTATTGTTTGTAAAGTATAAAATTAAAAGTAAACTTACTCGAGTAACAGTCAATTTAGTTAGAATAAAATCCAAGCATTGTATGCCCAATCCAGGACCATCCAGTAATTTTAATGTAGAAATCAACTGAAAGAATTAAAAGTTCGTATATCTTTTACTAAAATATAATAATTATATTTTTATTAAGTTATTTTATTTTACAAAACAAGCCTGTTAAATTACCTTTAGTCTGTCATTGCTATCCATTTGAAAAGTACAAAATCTTTTTAGTTCCATTAATGGTGACATTGCCTATATATAAATATTAGAAAACGTGTGTAAAAACAGCAGTAAAATTGAATGGACTATTGCTTAAAAATTATATAGATCTAATTATTGATTTATATACGTAACAAAATACTAAAAATAATGGATTTTTGTTTTAAAATGTAAATTGTATTAACTATTTAATCGTATAAATATGCAGAAAAACTTACCGAAATTGATACTTGAGCACCAACTAATATGATACCCAAAGTCATTATTATTATAAAACATAAAATTATTATCAAACTAATTCTTAAATATTTTTCTATTGATTTATATAGTAGAATGCAGAGTATAAAGGAAATTACGGAAATCGATGCACAATAGGCGGAACTACAACCTCCATTAAACATCTTATTGAATTCTTCTAATCCCAGACAGCATTCTTTAAATTTCTGACGAAAATATTGAAGAATATAACTCATTTCGTCGGATCTGGGGTGACAATTATATATATTATTTGCCAAAACATCAAAATTTCCCTTGACAACAATAGCAAGTATCACAATCGTTAAACAACAATATACAGAACAAACATTAGTTAAAGAATAAGCAGAAAATAAAGTAATAGAGCAAACCGTAGCCACCAAATCATTTGTAGACTTAGCTACCATGGAATAAACATTTAAACTAAACAATATATATAGAAATATAAATATAATGATCATTAAAGTACAATAGATGATTATTAAATACTTCTGGCATCGTTTTAACACGTATACTTGACGAATGTTATCGAATATCAAGTTCATCCGATTTCCATTATATTCGTTGGTGAGCAGAAAAATATAAATGCTACATACCAAAGCGCTGTAAATAATGATAAAGCCATAGTTCATCGTACTATCTGAAGAAAAAACACTTAAATATTCGGAACAAATGTAAACTGAATATCGTTTTGGTAACCAATACATAAGATGAATCATTATGTGATGAATCAGGAGGATGCTTAATATTAGAAATCGGTGCAATTTTTCCCAAGTGTTTCTATTTTCCTTTTGATGTATGCATTTCGTAATATTACGAATTGATATTAATTTCATGAAATTCAATGTGGGAGAAAGTAATAAACACGAACAGTTATTTGCAACATGGAAACTCCCTTCTTCCTCGTACATAATGTTTGACTTATGATCGAATATAAGCTTACCTTTGTAACGATGATTATGAAGTTGTGTATGAATCTCAGGTTTATACTAAATTGTATAGTATTATACGATAGTGTTATGTACTTACTTTGATTAGAACGTTTTAACTAATTACAGAATATATATATTAAATTGATTACTTATAGAATATTAATGAAAATGAAACCATTAGAAATCGATAATTTCATTTAAATAATGTAATAAATTCATGTACCCAATTACACTAATTGTAGATTTAAAATATAAGCACGTAACTAAACCTATAAATTGAAAAAATAATAATTAATTTTGAATTATTTAAATAAATATAATTATAATGTTATACAGACGAAGTGTGGATATAAATTTAAGACACCAATTTGTGTTGCATCCGAAGACATCGCTTATTGCATTATTTTGCAAATTATATATGCATTACTGATTGAATTGATTTATAATAGAGTAATAGAGAATTATCAGCGATAAATGTTGCTTTTTTACTACTTATCATTCCTCATAACTTGTAATAAATACAAAATACACGGTGATTTAATCATTCACTACCATCTTTTATATTTTTGGTATATATTTTTTTATTTTTGATGGAAGTTTGAACTAAAATATATATTAAGTTGACACAAATTCGCCTAAACAAAGCTTTTAAATGTAGGAAGATAAATATATAGAAGAAATGACAAACAACACGTGCAATAAATTTTGCTGATTGACACTACGAACGAACCTCAATCACGGTAATGAAGATGCTAATTAAGATAGTCTTTTCAATGATCCATAGAACGTTTTCAATAATTAACGTAAGTAATTAAAATATATCTTATAATTATCGGAAATTAACCGTACTAAATATAAAACTTTTCGTTTGAACACTAGCTTTATAGGAAGACAAGTAACTGCGTACTGGAGAAAATTTTAAAATTAAAATCACGCGATTTCCGGTCCAGAAAGGACGTTCGTTTTTAAAATTATTTTAAATTAAATTACTTTTTTGTTTATTTTTTAGTTTTAAATCAAACAACGTGAACACATTTCACTTCTATTGTAATGTTAAGGTAACACCTGCCACAAATGCATTTACTTCAGCAATATAAATAAATAGTTCACCCAGTCGAGCTGCACTTTACTCGGTGATTTAAAACGTGAAAGGGTGAATACAAATATCTGATAAACAGGCAACTTTTGTCAAGTATTAAACTAGATGCATGAATAATAGAAGCAGCTACATCATTGCCTTCTTTGGTACGTATAGAATTCGTAGGTTATTCATTCAAAAGTACTTTCAAATGATTTCTTTTTTAAATTTCTAGTTTTGTGTATAAATTATCAACAATTCCCGATAACTTTTACGTAAATTAATTCGATTTAAAGTAAGAGACTTGTTATAAATATTAATAAAGACGTGTGTAAAATTTCAAACTGATTTTATTCTTTTACAGTTTTAACATTAGGAAATGAAGTCGATGTTAACGCTCTTCTGGAAAATGAAAGAATAACAACGAAAATAAACAGTGTATTTGATAATGCATTGGAAACAATAAGTAATAGTCACGTGTTGGATGATGTCGTAAGTAGAAATTTTATTTAACAATTACTATATAAAGACACTAGCTGTGATAATGCGGCATTTATTACGAAATTGGTTTACAGTAATGGGATAAGGCAGCTAAACATTGGCCTATCTGACAATCGTGGGTGCTACTGGGAGGACTTTCTACCAGACTGACTTCTGTTTAGGTGTAAGGCGCGTGAAAAAACCGNCTTTATAAAATATTTATATTTATTGGGCTGAAATTTGAGAAAAAATTGTAGATTTATATATTTTATAACTATTGTTCTATATGAATGCAGTTGTTATTCGGAAGTCGGTCGAACTGGAGGAGCACAATATCTATCTCTCAACACCCGCTGCCATAACCTGGGGGTTATTATTCACGAACTTTGTCACGTACTGGGTTTCTATCACGAGCAGAATCGATACGATAGAGACAATTACCTTATTATTCATTGGGACAACATGGTAAAAGGTAAGTTATCGCCATCGGATATTTACATTTAGATTGTTAGAAATAATAGAAAATGTTGATATTGATAGGAGGGGAGAGCCAATTTGGGCTTCTTCCGCCGAGTATAAATACTATTGACGACGCTTTTAGTATCGAATCTATCACGATTTATGGAAGTTACGCATTTTCGAAAGACGGTGTGTCGAAAACTATGGAAGCGAGATCGGGACAAGCTTTGATAGACCCGTATTTCAAGAATNGAGTATAAATACTATTGACGACGCTTTTAGTATCGAATCTATCACGATTTATGGAAGTTACGCATTTTCGAAAGACGGTGTGTCGAAAACTATGGAAGCGAGATCGGGACAAGCTTTGATAGACCCGTATTTCAAGAATAGTTTGAGTGCCAGCGATATTTATAGAATTAAAGCGCTGTACGGTTGTGCTTGAAACATAAGCAACATCGTAATGTTTTATGAAATAAATATAAATGTTTAAATAATTCGTTCGATTTTCTAAGAATAAAATAATATTTTCACAAAATGTATAATTTTCGCATTTACGGCCAGATTTATTGGCTTAATTAGTAGCGGGCACTTGACAAGGAAGAAAGAAATACGTGTCGTATACAAGTAAAGTCGCTATTGTATCTTTATTGACACGAAATTGAAGCATTCCTCGCTGTGGAAGAGCTGAAGAACAAATGTAAGAAGTGCGCATTATACGTGCACTCTCGAGGCCTGATGCTTTATATTATACAGCACAATGCCTCGAGTCGTCCAACTGCTTATCTACGATCGTATAAACTCAAACGACGTCTTTTATGTATCTACAACTGATATTAATTTGCTTTCGACCAAAATATTCCACCGAAACTCGATGTTACCGTTTGCGAACGTCTTTTATTCCTACAGACTAGAATTATACGCAATAAGAACTGCTGCTGACGAATCTTTTAATGCACGCCGTAGGGGTTTTAAAACGTTAGAGTCTNGAATACATCTTAACAATAAGGATTTATTGTTATTTTGTCTATTATTCAATTTCTTTATTGTCGATTTTACGTAGAAAACCTTGAATAATTTGAATCTGTTTTCGGAATGAAGACTTTTTCTAAAATTATAAACCAGAAAAAATTATTTTCTAATGCATATGTGCCTGTTGTATCTGCATTTACTTATTCTGTTTTGCTGCTGACTAGATTCCAATCCATTAACACGTGGACGAACTGACAAGGAGATGTCTCTGGAAATTATAAGTGAAACAAGTCTTTATTTCCGTGTTAGACATGTAAAGAAAGCCCGGAAAATTTCACGCTGTCAGACGGTGCTTTTATCTACTGTTATGTGGTAGAGTATCGCTCTTACTGCCTCGCTCATTTGGTTATCGGACAATAATACCGTAGTACCAATGAGAAAACACCAGTAACGAGTTGCTTAACTTTCCCGGCATCATTTGGTAGCAAAAGTTTATAAAAGAATTGTAAATGCTAATAATCCATCCCTATTTATTGTTAAAGGTCGATGAGGTGAGATCGTGTGTCATATTTCGAGTAGGGTAGGATTTAATGCTAATGACGATTTAACTCGTCATTAGCATTTTTTATGAAACCCATCCCTAAAATTGTGAGCAATTCACGTAATGGAAATAAGTGCATAATGACAGTTTGTGAATAAAAAAAGACATTACAAACTTTATGTTTTATACAGTGTTGTTTATTTTTTATTGCAGATACATATAAACACTTACGTGAAAGCTTTCTAAGTAAATTAAAATAACTTTCTTTAGTCTTTAAAATTTATTTAAATAAGAAATGTTCGTATATCGAATTCAATGTATTATTTGCTAACAATTTCGTGCCACAATTCTTTCTTGGAGATTTACTTCCTAATTGTAGAAATCCCGATAATGCAGAATAAAAGGCGCTCAATATCTGTAAGAAAGAAAATTAAACGTATTTTTGTATACATTTATAAATAAATTATATTACATATTAAGTCGATTATTATAATTAACAATTTATAAATTTTAAAATTAGATACGAAGCAGTAGTGTTATAATTAACAAATCGCAGACAATGTTTTAAAGACCTACTCTGATGACGAATTGCTTCTTAACGTAGAAAAATCCTCCAATAGATAAACCAATTGGACGTCTTCCGAATCTTTTCATGAAATTCAACATCTGCAGAAGAGAAAAAGAATTTATCATTTCACATTCTTAAACAGAACTGAAGAGTTGGAGGAACTTTTTTATTCTCACTTTCAACTTGTCTTGTAATGAACATTCGACCGAAGAAAACACGTTGATTCCTTCAAAGTTTCCGTAAAGCTGTAAAATTTTGTATATTTAATTAATGATCTAAGATATAAAAAACAATATATATTTTGCCTTATATATTACCTTAGCAATCAAGCGAGACGTAATATAAGCCACGAACACTGAAACTAAAATAAAAAGTACGCTTGTTAATAACATGTGAAGTTTCCAAGATACGTCAGTAGATATCGCTGTATATATAGAAAAGGATGTCGTGTAAATAATGAAACTGTATAAAAGAGGAAAAGGGATTTCCAAAATGTCATTTATGTGATAAAAACAATGTAAAATATCCGTATGTTTCGGTATTACTTCATACAGTATAACAGTTACTCGTGTACGACGTTCGGTGATGCGACTAACAATTTCGCATAGGTAATTTAGTCGGTTGTAAAGTATAACTCCTATAAAAATTAATTGCACAGCAATAGTAGACATTGCAATAAATGCAAAAATCGTTTCCCAAGGAATGAAAATGGTACAAAATAATGCTTCTTCGTCCGATCCGTTTATTTTCAGAGCCGGATAAAGAAACATTTCAAAGAATGTACAAAATATTAATGACGACATTACCAGCCCGCTGCAGAATATTATCCCTATTAATTCAATTTGCCGCAACAGAGTGACTTCTCCAGCGTAAGTACTCATCCTGTACGAGAAATTAATTTTTCTTCTTTTGAAAATACTAAACTGTACAGCGGAATGTGCATAAAATAACATAAATAGGCATCTAAGTTGAACGAATTCGTCTCCGAACAGAATTATCCAATCTCGACATATAACATCTCTTTTCAGAACATCGAACGTGAATCTTATAATAGCGAGTAACCAGAGTAATTCTATTATATTCAAGTAAACTTTATAGGATTTACAGAAAAGGTTCTCGAGTCTTCGTCCATAAACGGCTCTATCTTTATAACAGTTACAGTTGGATATAATATTAAATCCGAGTACTTTATAGGACTGTATGAAGGGAAAGATCAGACATACAGGACAGCCGTTATATAACCGATTATCCATTTCTAATTAGAGAAAGTCTTAATAAAATACAGCTTAATGTTCGTATATTCGGCGACCGAGGAAGTAATTTTAAAGATGGCAATGCACGAAGATGCTGTTTGCCACGAATCTCAATTAAGTCTATCGAGAGAATGCGGAATATTCTTAGTTTTAATGGGAAACGAATCGATTTAATTTCGAAATTAATTGAAAAATTCGAAAAACGTCACGAATTTTATCATAAAGCTTACGAAGTAAGTAATAAAGAATGATAATTATGGAATTTTAATGCTTTCGATAAATAACAAACGAAGAATTCGAAATTAAAAGCCGAATTCGTCGAATATTTTCCTTACTTTGGTATTTTAATGCGATAATTTCTCATAAAAAAGTAGGTTTTACTTTATAATAATTGACCATTAACGTCAATCGATTAAAACTTCTCATTTGAACATTCGATAGTTAAGTGCTAATGTATCGAGATCGATAATGGAATTTGAATATTTCAAAATTGTTAGGTAAACGGGAAGCTAAAAATCCAAGTGACTTTTAATAAAGAAAATTAAAACTTTCCCCTTTTAAGGTTATTAGTGGGCCCCAAAGTATTGGGCCCACTAATAACCTTACCAAAGGCCCAGCAAATTACCAGCCGGTTCCGCTTGGAGTAATCAAATTATTTAATAAATTACATTTGCTTTAATTTTATCGTCAATACTTTAATTTTTTTTTCTTAATTTGAAGGAAATAATTGATTTTCAAATATTTAAATTGTTTACCAAAAGCCAGGCTAAGGTTTGTTCACATTTTGAGAGAATAATGTGCCTTACAATAAGTCGATTTAATGTACTGTATCTACACATTGTACTTTGAACTAGTGTTTACTTTTAGGTTATCCTTTCGGAGAAAAATTTGCAGATTTGTCCCGTTCCCATAAAGGAATGGCTTCGGACGTAACAAATGTTAAACGCAATCAACCAGGCAGTGGTAGACCTAAATTTTGAGGCTCTTGTAAAACATTTCTTGCATCTATGTAAAATGAAAATGAAATGAATGAGTGATTTTGTTATAAAGAGTAAAGGAATCGGTGTAATGAGAGATGTTATAAAGAAAATTATAGATGGAACAGAAAACACGAAGGAGAAGGCTATCAGAATTGTATGATATTAAAGACGGTGTGAGATTTTTGGAGCAAAAAGCTAAGACGAGAGATAGCGAGCGACGGAGAAGAGAATAGAGTTATATTCCAAGGAGTTTTCACGACAACGAAACACTAGGGAGAAAGAGAATTAGTGTACTTCATACTCGGATTATGTTTTTAATACTTCTTTTATACGACAATCCTCGATAATAATTTAGTCATTTATTCAGTAATTCTCATGCTTTCAAAGATAATTAAAATAAAAAGTAATAATGAAAAGTAATGAAACGCAAACTATTATATTTCCACAAGAGTACATTAGAATCCATTCTCGCTTTGACATTTAAAAAAAAAAAAAAAAACATTATTTCACTTAAAGTTTCAATATTGTAACTCCCCTCAAACAGTAGATTAGTTGTGTTCACTGTATGCCTGTTGCAGCACTTGCAAGAGCAAGTATTGCCAACACCTCAGAGCATTAGGTGTCGTAAGATTGCTTACTAATAAAATTATCATTAAAGTACACCACCACATACATTTTTGAAATTTACGATTAATAATGCCAAGTGTAACGATCACTCCGATGGGTACTTTATAAACCCATCAGTTAGAAGTAACTTTAGCACTTTATTATCACTTAAAAGCTATTATTGTCTATAGCACTTAAAAGCAATTTAAATAAGTCTTATGTGAAGTCTTTCGGGCGTTAATGTTATTTTTATTTTATTTTATACAGAGGTTAGGAGGCTGTCCATTAATGAATTGGACTTAGCCTCATAGAACGAAGTAGTGAAGTAAGGGATTAATCAAGTTGTTGAAGATGAAGATGCTGAGAGTATTTTAGAAAAGAGCAATATCGAGTCACTAATCTATGGTGTCACTAATCTATGTGTGAATCACTAATCTATGGGAAAAATCTGATAGAAGACATTTGAAAAAAATTAAAATTAATTTTTATAATCTGTACGACGGTATTTTCGCGAATTAAATTCAAATCCACGGACAGAAAGATTGTTGCCGAAGAGGGTTGGAGTTAATCCGTGTCGGACGGGTTGTGATAGTCTCCACGTGATCGAAGATGCTAACATTAGACTCCCTTGTGACTGAACAAATCCCCTCACTGGCTGTTACTCTTGCATAAATTTAGACATCCGTGATTATCCCTTTGCGAGAGCCATTGGACTGGTTACTATGCTTAATACCTAATCACGTACTGTTATTTTTAATTTAAGTTCTTTCGCTTATTACTCTGGTTACGGTCTGGAGTTATCACATCACGCGAATCTGTGTTCGGTTCCCTCCCATGCTTCTGTACCTCGGATCTCTTACATTGTTAATGCATTTCCTAACCGCGATCACTTTTAATCTATATTGCACCAGTTCTGTATCTACACGCGATTCTTTATTTCGGTTTTAAGAATTTCTGCCTAGTTATTTTGTACCGCGGATTGCTACAGTGTCTACGCTTATGTGTAACCACGATCTCCCTTATTTTGTACCGGACTAGGTTATAGTCGGCCTTTAATACCTTTTAAAGTCCCGACTCAAGTTGTTACCATGCATATACGATTTTACTTTATTTCTGTATATAGCGGCCTTTTGCCGCCTCATCTCCGTGCTAAACAAACTGTCGGGATTTTATCGTTTTCAATACTGCGTTGTTGATATTGCTATTTTCTAAAATATTCTCAACATCTTCATCTTCAACAAGTTAATTAATCCCTTACTTCACTACTTCGTTCTATGAGGCTAAGTCCAATTCATTAATGGACAGCCTCCTAACCTCTGTATAAAATAAAATAAAAATAACATTAACGCCCGAAAGACTTCACATAAGACTTATTTAAATTGCTTTTAAGTGCTATAGACAATAATAGCTTTTAAGTGATAATAAAGCGCTAAAATTACTTCTAACTGATGGGTTTATAAAGTACCCATCGGAGTGATCGTTACACTTGGCATTATTAATCGTAAATTTCAAAAATGTATGTGGTAAAACTCATTATCAGAATGCCTATAAGGGATCTCCGTAAATGGCTTTTAAATGGTTTTAAGGGCGGGAGGTCCAGAATAAGTCAGACCCTACTCGAGATATGACATACGATACTTTCACCTCTCAAACTTTAACCACCAAAATTTAATATTATCAATCTTCCTAATATACAAACCTCCCCGCACAATTTCGGAAATTTTCAACAAAAGCACTGGATATATTAAGCTACAAAGAGGGTGAACAAATTCTTGCTCCCTACTCACACACACACAAACACAAACACTAAAACACAAATACGAGTTAACATCCATACATACGGAAAAACTTGAATTGTTCTGTATTTCAAAACGTTTCAAGGTCCCCCGAGTCCAAAAACAAAAATCACGGGAGTCATTTTTTGGCCGATTGCCATATTTTCCCTCTTTTGTATATAACAGAACCCGGAAAGTAAATAATCTATATTCAGAAGGATGCCTACAAAAGACAATTGTTTAAACATTTGGAAATAATTTCATCTAAAGATAAAAAAAATAAATGAAAATTTGGGCAGAACGATAGATAAATCCTGGTATAAGATGTTAAACATATAGGACACTCGAGAACCTTCAAGAGGAATTACAGCTATTGAGTGAGGTGGTGTGAGCGGGTTAATTAATTGGAAGTGGTGTTTCTCTTCTCTCAGTGTAACGAGTCATGGGAATCATTCCTAGTTTACAAGAACGTCCAAAGTAGACACTAGCATAAGTAATTAAGGACAAGAAGTACGTATTCTGTAATGTATTTATATTTTCAAAACTTATAAAAGACAGCTTAAAACATCGATCGAAACTCGTCGAAAAAGTTATATATAAGCCATATTTTTATTAACTGATAAGCATCCAGTGAGACCGCACGATAGTGTATACGTAACAGATACACGCAGGGAGCAGTTAAGAATTAAGAGAAAAATTGGTGATTTCTAGAAAATGTGAAAAATAGGCACTAACGAACACAATAGGAATTTTTAGGCACTATCACTTTTCGATATCTTAATCGACTTCCTCTAATATATCTTTTGATACAAGAAACCTAAAACTGAAACAGAGTAAAATAGGCTTTTAGAGCAATGTCCTAGCTTCACTCGTAAGTGTTAATTTGATGGGTATTTGTCAATTATCCTCTCTCTGTCGCATCGCAAAAATTTTAGTTTATTCGTCAATTTCATGAGTTATTTAATGTTAAATCAAACTAAAACTTTACGATTACGTAAACATAAATTCGACTTACGTAACTGTTTTAAAAGGCTGACCATATTTTATCAACGTTTGCACACGTGAGAGAATAATTGACATGTATCTTATAACTTTTAGAAATATTTTAAAGTTTTAAACACGTTCAAAAAACATCTGCAACACCACATTTGCATGACGTTTCGCTTTTACGTCACTGGCATTGTTCTCTATAATCCAACGCACATATTTCTCACTTTATAAGTATAGCAACACTAATTATAGCAGATATTGTTGAAAACTTTTGTAATAAGATGAATAAATTCTATTATTTCATCGCCATATTTGGTAAGTATAACCTCAACTATTTTATATGTTGGGTTAAAAGTAAGTTTATTTGTAGAATGAGTTCCCGTACGGTTGCTGTAAAAGCGTATTATTAATACAATTAAACTGTTAAAATACAGGAAAAAATGTTAGTCGATTAAAGCATTTCACTTAAATGTGTGGTCAGTTTGTTGATATCAATCGAGTAAAATTTAATTAAGAGTCCCTCTCAGTATTTTGATACTTACCATAGGACTATATCTTTAATGTTGCAGAAAGTTTTTCATAAGGCACACTACATATTTCAATTATGTATATTGTATATGATTATATAATCTATACGTGGATCTCGAGTGGTTGGAAAACATTATTTGCATTTTTCCTGTCATTGTATAATACAGTCGATCCCCCTATAATTACGGTCCCTATAATTACGATTCCTATAAAACTACGAAAAAATTGTGACCGGTATCCGTAAAAAACAGTAAAAAACCCCCTATAATTACCTCAAACGTCATCGGGCAGCCGAACTACTTTCCCGCCGTCCGTAGCGCCAACTACGGAGAGATTTCTATCGTCTGGACAGTATCATATAAATTATATATAAATTAGGTACTGTACATATAATTATATATTAATTATATATAAATTAGGTACTGTATATATAATTATATAT